GGGCCTGAACTCTGAACTCTGGGCCTGGGTACTGTCCCTCAGCTCTTGAGCCCAAGGCTAGTGCTCTACTGCTTGAGCCACAGTCCCACTTCCGGCTTTTTTCTTTTTGCTTATGTGGTGCTGAGGAATCAAACCCAAGGCAAGCACTGTACCACTGAGCCACCTTCCCAGCCCAAAGGCCCCATTTTCAAATAAGCTTACATGCAGAGGGGTTCTGAATTTTTGGGAATATTCGACCCACCAGAGTTACTACGGTAATCACATGATTCTGTATACTAATAACATATTTGTCATTTTAGGGCACTCATAAAGTTTTGTAAATAAAAGCATAATATCTGAAATAATTTGTCTTAAGGGAATCTCTACAAAGTTTTTTTGGTCAATGTTTACAAACAAGACCACACTAAAGCTACCAGCACAACTATGTTTATTGCAGCATTATTTACCATAGCTAAGATATGGAACCAACCCAGATGCCCCTCAGTAGATGAATGGATCAAGAAAATGTGGTATATATACACAATGGAATTCTATGCCTCCATCAGAAAGAATGACATTGCCCCATTTGTTAGGAAATGGAAAAACTTGGAAAAAATTATATTAAGTGAAGTAAGCCAGGCCCAAAGAAACGTAGGTCCCATGGTTTCCCTTATTTTTAATATCTAGTATATGTATGAGTCAAGCGGAAAAGGTCAGATAATGTGATGTCAGGAAAATGAACCCTTAGATGTGTATTTTAATGTTTTTTTTCTTTCATGCATGTGTTTCTAACACATTTATAAGATTATCTCTTTGTTGCTTTGTATGTCCCTCCCCCACAGTATAACCCCTGCTTTCACTATATTTGATGTCAGTATAACTTGTGGAGGAGATGGGGAAAAACCAGTTGTTTAAGGATACAGGTGGACCTGTTGCAACAATGAGAAGTACAAGTTGTCATGTCCAAAACGAGCTTTACAACGTTGGTGCGGGGGGGGGGGGGGGGGGGGAAGGGGGGGGAAGGGGGGAAGGAGAAGGATTGGGATTGGGGGGGAGGGGGGAGGCTGGGAAGGGATGTGAAGGGTAAACAAAGGAGGAGGCTGCAATGCTTGGTAAGAAATGTACGCATTATCCTGCCCATGTAACTGTAACTCCTCTGTACAGTATGTTCACAAATAAAATTAAATTAAATTTAAAAAAAAAAAGTTTTTTTGGTCAATCCCTCATATTTCTATAATCAAAATTAGGACAAATTAGTAGATGTTATTTGATGTAAACACAGGCATGGATATGTTAAACAGGTATCCCAAACCCCCTCCTTCCCATATTTACTAGATTACACAGCTTCCCTCTGAACTGCATTTTGTCAGAAATCTGTGTGTGTGTGTGTGTGTGTGTGTCTGTGTCTGTGTCTGTGTGCTGATATTGGGGCTTGAACTTAGGGCCTAGGACACGGGCCTTTAGCTTTTTTGCTCAGTAATGACACTATGTGTACACTTATACAACCACAGCAGTCTGGAGGGTCCTCAGCTAAATATTGGCCTCCCTTATGACCCAGTCATACCATCTATCCTGAACAACAGGAACCAGTATACAAGGACACATGCACCTTCATGTTTATTGCAGCACTGTTCACGATAGCCAGAATATGGAAACAACCCAGATGTCCCACCACAGATGAATGGACCCAAAAATTGTGATATCTCTGCACAATGGAATATTATGCAGCCATTAGAAATGACAAAATAATGGCATTTGCAGGGAAATGGATAGAGCTAGAAGAAATCATGTTGAGCGAGGTAAGCCAAGAGCAAAGAGACAAACGGCACATGGTCTCCCTGATAAGTGGATGTTAAATCCAAAATGTAAGGTGATACGACAAAATAACCGAGACTTAAGAAACAAAGGACTTCCACTCATCCGGTTGAATCACTACTAAATAACCCTATATGCTGATCACATATATGGTATATATGTGCACTCTGGAGGGAAACCAGGAGGCCGGCACAGAACTAGAGGGAATCAGGAAAAACATACAACAGTGGGACCCATCAGCGGCACTGGTCATTGATCAAAATGAACTAAACAACTCAATGGCAGCGATGGGAGGGAGGGAACAAGTGGGAAAGAGGGAACAGCTGACGCTCTGCAAAACAAAAGAAATGTACATATCACCCAATGTGGAAGAAATAACTGTATTGCAAAGCTCATAGAACTCATAAATGTTACAGACCATGATAGACAATTTGCCCCATGAAAGTTAGAATGTGTTTGTGACTTTAACTAAGCATCACTATCCCACAATACTGTGAAATTTGGAAAATTATGTAATTAATCACAATAAAGAATTTGAAAAAAAGTAATGACACTCTGCCACTTAGGCTACAGTTCCATTTCTGGCTTTTTGCCGGTTAAGTGGAGAGTTTTATAGACTTTCCTGCTCAGTCTAGCTTCTTACCATGATCCTCAGATCTCAGCCTCCTGAGCAGCTAGGCTTACAGGCGTGAGCCACAGGAGTCTGCTTGACAGAGATTTATTGGGCTTTATTTTAAGGCCCATGTGGAATGTTTGTTATCCCTGTTCCCTTGCAACTCCTTAGTGTCAATGTAATACATTAAAAGGAGTTTTTAGCTTGAGTTTTCAAATTCCTAATTGGCAACTTTTTATGGTCATATTTAAGAAGAGAAACTTCTGAAAAAACGAGTTCATTGTGAGAGCATTAGGGGTCTGAGGATGATGTCTCAGGAGCGTCTGTGGGATGGTGTGAGAGCAGGAGAGGGGGTTGAGTCTTGGATATTTACTGTTCCCATCGCCTCCATGTCTGTGTCCTCACTGAGCGCGGGAACCGAGTGTTCGGCTGGGATGGATTAGAGAGGTTCATGTAGAACAAGGCAGAGCTGCCACGCAATGGTTTTAGTAGGAATTCTGTCTCTCCCTGAGTCCTGCAGATGGCAGATCAGAGGATCTCACGGTTGAAGCCAGTGTTCTTTTATTTTCAAATTCATCATCATCATCATTATTTCATCAGTGGTTCTGGTCTGAATTCAGGACCTCACACTTGCCAGGCATGTGCACTACCGTTTGAGCCATATCAGCTCAAAGGACATGCTTATCCTCTAGTACAGGGATGTTTATTCTCTAGAGAGCATAAAAATTCAGCTGTAATTTGTTATCACTTTGCAGAGCCATTAGGAACTATGTCTAGAGGTGTGTGTGTGTGTGTGTGTGTGTGTGTGTGTGTGTGGTGTGTGTGTGTGTGTGTGTGTGTGTGTGTGTGTGTGTGTGTGTGTGTGTGTGTGTGATACTGGGGCTTGAACTCAGGATCTTATGCTCTCATTGGTTTCACAAAGGACCTAGTTTTGGTAGCTAACTTTACAGGCTGAGCCCATAGTTAAATTTTGACTTATGACAAGTGAATTCACTTGGGAGCCAAGTGAACTTTCTTGTAGGTGCCGAGTGCCCTTCCTCCTCATAGGCACATACCTGAGCAGGAAGGGGGTGGGCCTCAGAGCCCTGGCATTGGGAAGAAGACAGAGGTGCAGAAATCTGAGAGGTACTCCCTGCTCCATGATGAGTACCAGGCATCTGGCTGTGTAGCCCAGGCTGGCCTAGAACTCCCGATCCTCTTGTCTCAGAGACTGACACAGCTTGGAAGACAACTTAAGATTAAAAAAGGGAGTAGGGTGGGTGTCATGGGACCAGAAAAAGGCTTGGTTATAAAACCCATTGGTGGAGTATGGGTGGCAATTTGCCATGGTTTGTGTGTGTGTGTGTGTGCACGCACATGCATGCAAATGCATGCTAGTAGTCAGGCTTGAATTCAGGGCCTAACATTAGCTCAGTTTTTGGCTCAAGGATGGCACTCTACCATTGAGCCACAGTTCTACTTCTGGCTTTTTGCTGATTAAGTGGAGATAAGATTCCCTTGGATTTGTCTGCTTGGGCTGGCTTGGAACTGTGGTCCTCAGATCTCAGCCTCCTGAGTAGCAAGGATTATAGGTGTGAGCCATTGCTGGTACTTGGCTTGCTTTCTTTGCTAGCATTTGTGTTCTTCTGAGTCTTCTTCTTTTCTAATTTTTTTTTTTTTTGAGCTGCTAGGAATGGAACCAGGGCCTGATGCATACTAGGCAAGCATTTCACCAGTCAATTATGTTCCAGCCTACACTTGACTATTTTTTTAAACGGAATTCAAATTGCCTATGTAGATAAACTGGGACAGTCCTATCATCTAGTTTATCATCTCCTCCCCCTATGTCTTTAGAATAGAGAAGGCCATATAGGGTGAATTTTTAAAATGTTTTTTTTATTGTAAAATACTGTACAGAGGGGTTACAGTTACATGAGTAAGGTAATGAGTGCTTTTTCTAGGGTGAATTTGATCTAATTACGTTATTTGCATATATGTAAATGTCACAACAGAACCCCTTGTGCAATTAGTTTGTGCTAATAACAAATTCAAGAAAAGAAAGTAAGGAAGGTCGTTTGCTTGTTGCAGGCTTCTGTGCTCAGAAGCCGGCTGCTATTTCCTGCCCAGGCTGAGATGTCAGTGCACCTGGCCCAGCGGGGGCAGAAAGATTTCTGATGTCTGACAGTTCACTGACTTGTAAAACAATCTTCCGGAAAACCTTTAAAACAAGTCCTCTTGTGGCCAACTCCTTTCGTTTGCCAAAAGCCAGCCTCCTCTTGGATGTAGGTGGCATTTTCTGGACTTTTCTGGCAGCTCCCAGCTTCTTTTCTCCCTTTCTCCAGGCCCCACCTCTCTGTCCCCAGGCATCTCTCTGCGGTCCTCTGATTGGTGCGCTTCAAGGCCTGGCCTTTTAGGGACTGTTGTCAGGCATTTAAAGTGATAAGGGAAAGTGTCCAGCGCTGCTTTTATCAACCAATCAAATACATTCCTGACTGATCCCAAAATATTCCCGAGCATTGGAGGGGACGCCCGAGATGCCCGTGTGCCCCTCTCTTTACGTTGGAGGGGAGGGGCAGGAGCGCAGCCCTGGGCGGCAGCCAGCTCTCATCTGGCACTGGGTGTCCCTGTCGGGATTTGTCTAGCGCCGCGATCCCGCACAGGGGTGTGTTGGGGGGAGCCCTCCTTCTGACTGTCGAAATGGTTATCAAAGTGTTTGTGGCCACGTCGTCCGGCTCCATAGCGGTAGGTGTCTGGTGCGTGTGTGGGGCTTTTGCTTCCCAGGCAATTTTCTGGATAACTCAAGAGTTGCAGAGTTGAAGCAGCCAGGATGGCCAAGTGTGGGCTTTGATTCTATTTTGCACGTAAGTCAATTGAACTCTAGTGAGCATGTTCGCCTTTGACTTTCTGTGTTTGTTTTCATGGTGCTGAGAAGAGCGTGAACAAATGCGTAATCCCCACAGGTGGGGTGTGAGAGAGGCTTCTGGGAAGGAAGTACGCCGGTGCTAGAGTTTTGTTTTGTTTTCTGATGTGATTTGTGTTGTGTTGAATATGTCATAGAATTATGGACTGGAGAAAAAAAAGAATGATGGACTGGTTTTTCTTCCTGCCGTTCATTCTGCAGGACAGACCTATTTACAATTGGGAATATATAAAACTCTGTGAAACCCCTTTTGGGTGGGATGAACTAGATAGCTGAATGGTTTCTGGCTATTATTTTCGTGAGTGTGATTAGCCGTGCAGAAGATGCAACACTGCTAGTTATAGTACTATTTATGATTTGAAGAAAATGGTGTCACAGTGGTGAGACCCAACATCTCTGAGGCCATAGCTTTAAGCTGCAGGAATTCCAGCAGCCCAAAACATAGCAAGGAAAGGCCAGCGTCCACATTGCTTTCTCAGACTTCCTTGAGAACAAAGGGCTAGAAAGCCCTTCACCATGCGGTGGAGACCTGCCCTACAAGTAAGGCTAATTGCCACAGAGCAATTTCTCCCTTGAAAATGATTCAGGCTCTGGTTACAGGCTCGATCCTGTAGTGTCTGTCTAGGTGTGATGTGTTGGTCAGCGTTTTAGCAGAAATTGGGAAGGCTGTGGAAAGAAAACAGTTTGTGACTCCCCAGAGTTAGAGACCAGAGAGGAGTCTGTTTCCTTTTATATTGAGTTCTTGGAGGATCTCAGATTGCACTGGCCCCACACCAGCCTCAACTACCACCCGCCCACTGTCCCAGCCCCAGAATTTCAGGGGGTTTCCCGAGTCCCTGCCATCACAGCCAGACCAATGATGGCTTCACTGAGCTCTGGGTCAGTTGCGCAAGGAAAGATGAGCAAAACGTAAATGCCAGCTGGGCATCGGTGGCTCACGTCTGTAATCCTACCTACTCAGGAGGCTGAGATCTGAGGATCTTGGTCAAAGCCAGCCTGTGCAGGAAAGTCCATGAGACTTATTTCTAATTAACCACCAGAAAACTGGAAGTGGCTCTGTAGCTCAAGTGGTAGAGCACCAGCCTTGAGCCTGAAGAGCTGAGGAACAGCGCCCAGGCCTAGAGTTCAAACCCCATGACTGACAAAAAAAAAAAAAGTAAGTGCCATGCATACATCTGTCCTCGCTGTGAATGACTGCAGAAAATGCTCACTAGATCTGTGGTACTTTTTGTTTGTTTTCGCTGTGCTGGGGTTTGAACCCAGGGCCTCATATCTGCTAGCTAAGGCACTATTACTGTTACGTCTCCAGCTCAAGAGTCACTTTTGTGGTAATTTAGATGACAAATACCTGTATGTGTAAAGTGAACATGGTGTTAGTGGGCTGGAAAATATGTTAATGTCAAGGCCCCAAACCTTTCCTTGCCACTCGTTATACAGGCTAGAGGGCCTAGCCTGTGAGGCTGTACACAGGCAGAAGACAAGGACTATGTTTACAGATTCCTCTGGCTTACTTACTTGCCCACATCCTGGGCATTTGGAGGTGGGATTTAGTTAGCCTTGGGGAACTGGAGGGGTTGCCATTCATCCTAGATGTTGGAAAAGCTGAGCTGGAAAAGCATCCCTAAGCAGATGCTTCAGCACCCCGGGTAACGCTCTGACCTTGGAATGGTATTTCACCTTGCCAAGCCTCAATTTCTTTGTCTGTAAAATGAGGATAAGAATAGTCCCCACCTCATAGCGTTGACATGAGGGCTTCTGAAATAACATGCTTGGGTGCCCAGTGTGGTGGCAGGTTTTTAACCAGGCTCACGAAGTGCCATGGCTGCTAGTTAAGCTTATGATCGCTAGCTACCATTCATTAGTATCAGCTACTACTATGATTTTATGACAATTATTAGCTAATTAGTACCAATCGGTATTGCAGCTGCTCTCACGCTCCTGTCAGTTACTATGATTACCGGCTAAGATGGTTTGAGTGGATCTAGATCTGTGATGGTTTTGTGTCAGAAGCTTGTGTAAACCCACATAAATGGAAGAGAGTCTGCCTTACTGTAAAGACAGAAGGCGTACCCTCCAAAGCTTCTTGGCAGAAAAGCCCTGGAGCAGCTTCATGTTGACTGTGTCCTGCAGAGCAACCCCTCACCCCAACTTTGCTTCTTGGGTCTCCATATTTCAGAAGGGAATTCTTGCTCAAGCCTTGTCCTCCTCCCTGAGGGCATTCTAGCTTCTGTGGGGGGTGGGAAACAGCTGAGCGACTACTTAGTACAGGGTGTTTATCTGGGATGACCCCAGAGAGCTGTGGCCTTCTTTGCCACGTTCTGGAGGGGTTTGGGTTCACAGACCACAGGGAGCAAGATCAGGCAGGTGTCTTCTGGTGGGGCGTGGGGACAGGGAGGGAACTGCATCTTTATGGCTGACTCTTCTGGAACCACTGGTTTTTCAGTTGGGACGGGAGTGTAAACAGGTAGCCTTTTTTTTTTCTTCCTCCTTCAGAACTGGGGTTTGAACTCAGGTCCTCACTTTGCTAGGCGGGAGCTCTATCATTTGAGCCATGTCCCTTCTCCCCCACTTCTCCTTTTATTTTTTTACTTTAGCTGTGTTTTGAATAGTCTTATATTTTGCACATGCTAGGCTGGCCCAAATCCTCCTATTTATGCTTCCCAAGTATCTGGGATGAAAAGTACACACTGTTACTGGTCCCAACCTATTGTTGAGATCGGCTCGCTTGAATCTGGTAGTTCACTGAGGATAGTTGGATCTTAGTGAACGACCAGATCATTCTCAGCCTCTAGAGAAGCTGTGGTTATAGGCATGAGCCACCACACCTAGCAAAATGTGGCTTATGAATTAGATTGATGTAGAGGTCAGTCTTGGAAGATCACCACTTAATTGGAGCTTTCATTTTGTTAATTAAAAATCATGATGAGAAATCTGGGCGCTGGTGGCTCATACCTGTAAATCTAGCAACTCAGGAGACTGAGATCTGAGGATCATGGTTCAGAGCCAGTCCGGGCAGGAAAGTCTGTGAGACTCTTATCTCCAATTAACCACCAGAAAACCGGAAGTGGAGCTGTGGCTCCACTAGCCTTGAGCAAAAGAGCTCAGGCACAGTGCCTAAGTCCTTAGTTCAAGCCTTACAACTAACCCCTCCCCCCCACCTCCCCCCAAAAAATCATGATGTGAACACCTACCTGGTGAGCTGGGTTTGGTGGCACCTGTGTAATGCCAGCCCTGGGCACACAAGGCAGGAGGATGGAGAGTTCCCATGAGGCTCTGATGGGAACCAGCAACAGCTCCCCTAGCCCCCACGGACTTGGCATGCCTGGTGTGGCCGTGCGAGATAGCATGCTGGGACTGCCAGCACGTGGCAGCTTCTCCCTCAGCTCTCATCAGCGTCCCGCGAGGAAGACATGGCATTACCAAGCACGCGGGGAGTCCTTGCTCAGAAAGCCACCAGCAGAGCCAGGGCAGAAACACAGGTCATGAGTGACCTGCAGGTGGCCTACTTCTACTGCTGTGCGGCGACCTCAGCTGGAAAGGCTCCTAACTGTACATGACAATACGCTGGAGGTGCTGCCCTCAGACACGTTAGCTGACTGCAGCCGGGACAGAGAACAAATCGCTCTTAGGACTAAATAAAATGGAAAACAGGGTTTGCCCTGAGGCTCAAAGGCTTCCAACAGTAACCCAGACTTGTGGTATGTCCCAGCCTTGGAGGGCGATGGCAGCCTGCACCATGACCCCGGGATGTGGCGAGGGGCTGGAGGAGGTGGGGAGAGGGATCTCGGCAGGCCTTGCTCCTGAGCCATGCCGGGAGGTGAGCTCTGGAGGCCCAGGAAGCCACGTGCACGGGAGCTGCATTTGGGAGGGTCCTATGAGCTTGTTGACCAAGATCCCACCAAGGGAGGGATTTTGGGGGGGACAAGGGCTCCCACACTGCAGGCAGCGTATCAGGTGGCAAAGGAGACAGTGCCTGCCAGGTGCGCTCATGTTCCCCTCCGCCATCCTCCTTCCTCTGGACATGACCCCGAAGCCCTTCGTGCTCCTCTGCTGCAGCCCAGCATGGCCTAGTGCTCGGCCAGCCCCGTGGGCCAGGGCGGTGTGGTCAGGGACTCTGGAAGCCAGCAGGTGTTCTATTTTGCAGTGTTGGGGTTGAGAAGCAGCCCTGAGCCCAGCGTGGGGCATCGGGTGGTTGCTTCACCTGGGGCTTCCCCATCCATTCCCAAGACGAAGCAGAAGCCGGGACTAACGGGAACCTTATTATCCATTAAGAAGCTGTGGGATAAAAAATCTCACTGAAGCCAGGTGCCAGTGGCTCATGCCTGTCAGCCTAGCTACTCAGGAGGCTGAGATCTGAGGATCACAGTTCAAAGCCAGCCTGGACAGGAAAGTCTGTGAGACTTTGTGTTTTTTGTTTTTGGTCAGTCGTGGGGCTTGAACTGTGGGCCTGGACACTGTCCCAGAGCTCTTCAGCTCAAGGCAAGCACTCTACCACTTGAGCCACAGCGCCACTTCTGGTTTTCTAGTGGTTTATTGGAGATAAGAGTCTCATGGACTTTCCTGCCTGGGTTAGCTTTGAAACGGGATCCTCAGATCTCAGCCTCCTGAGTAGCTAGGATGACAGGCGTGAGCCACCGGGCGCCTGAGACTTTTTTTTGGGTCCGGTCGTGGGGCCTGAACTCTGGGCCTGGGCGCTGTCCCTCAGCTCTTCAGCTTAAGGCTAGCGCTCTACCACTTGAGCCACAGCGCCACTTCTGGCTTTTTTCTTATGTGGTGCTGAGGAATCGAACCCAGGGCCTTGAGCATGCAAGGCAAGCGCTCTACCACTGAGCCACCTTCCCAAAGAGACTTTTTATCTCCAGTAAGCCACTAGAAAACTGGTTCTTCCTCTCCTCCCATCCACAGCTCTTCTTCCTTACAAATTCATCTTTACTGTTTTTGCCTATCAAACCTTTGAATTTAAAGTATCTCAAAGCACTTTCAAAGTGTTCTTAAGTACTTTCTTTGACAGATGTTAGGGAGCCTCTCTGTTTTAATGATACTGATTTTATAATGCTTTCAAGGTCGTTGATATGTACATCTCAGATTTTAAATAATCACCCTTTATAATAATAGATTATAAGGTGCAAAACTTTACAGTTGTGATTTTGCTTTTTCCCTTCTTTGCATACTTTACACACTTACTTGTGGTTTATTGACTCACTTATGTTATGCAGAGGAGGATTCTAATGACCTAACTCCTTTGAACAACTAATTTATAGTCTAACCAGTGACTACCAGGAAGCTGGAACACGTGTGTGTGCAGGAGGCGAGGTCAGGGGGAGGGGTGGGTAGGAGAGTGAAGGGTGGGAGAATGCGCCTTAATATTCAGTGTGCCTATGTGAAGATGGAGCAGCCAAATTGAGGGAACGCGTGGGGCTGGGGAGATGGAGGAGAAGAGTGAGGGAAATGGCATCCACAAAGACGCTTCGTACTCACAAACTGACACACTGGATTGAAGCCTCTTGTTCAACTTCTTAAAGATAACATAAATAAGCCAGGTCACACCTGTAATCCTAGCTACTACTCAGGAGGCTGAGATCTGAGAACAACAGCTTGAAGCCAGCCCAGGCAGGAAAGTCTGTGAGATTCTGATCTCCAATTAACCACCAAAAAGCCAGAAATTAAGCTCCAGACAACACCCAGGCTCTGATTTCAAGCCCCAGGATCTGCATACACACACACACACACAAACACACACACACACACGCACTTGTACACACGCACACACATGTGCACATGAGCATACATATACACAGGTAATATTCTTTGTGTCAGATGTATTGCTTGATAAAGGATTTGATTTCTGTAACTGTCGGCCCAACCTTTCTCTAAAACTGATTATATAATTCTTTGTGTCTCCTCTCCACCAGATTAGGAAGAAGCAGCAGGAAGTGGTGGGATTTTTGGAAGCTAATAAAATTGACTTCAAGGAGTTAGACATAGCTGGAGATGAAGACAACCGGAAGTGGATGAGGGAGAATGTTCCTGGAGAGAAAAAACCTCAGAATGGGATCCCCTTGCCTCCCCAGATCTTCAACGAGGAGCAGTACTGTGGGGTGAGTGCTGGTTGTGTGGAGAGCCACTGTGTCCACAGCACTGTGTGTTTAGCAGTGTGGTTTGAGGCAGCGTCTGAGCGGTTCACCGGCTGTCGCTGGGTTTCTGCTTTCTAGTAGCTGGATGGAGATCATTGTGAGAAAAGAGCTCCTCAGACCTGGAAAGTGGTGCTGTGGATTGAATTGGATTGGATTATTCTAGATTCCTTCTTTTGTTTTTGAAGAATTAGAGGTTACTTGTTGAAACAAAATAGGCATTGTGTGAGAAAGGAAATCTATTCAACTTTGCTGAAGAGCTACACGATAAATTCTCACTTTTTTTTTTTTGGTCAGTGGTGGCGTTTGAGCTCAGGGCCTGGGCGCTGTCCTGAGCTCTTTTGTTCAAGGCTAGCATTTTGCCACTTTAAGCCACAGCTCTACTTCTGGCTTTCTAGTGGTTAATTGGAGGTAAGAGTCTCATGGACTTTTCTGCCTGGCCTCGCTTTGAATTACGATCCTCAGATCTCAGCCTCCTGAGTAGCTAGGATTACAGGCCTAAGCCACTAGTGCCTGAGTAACTTTTTACTTTTTTTTTTTTGTCTGTCTTGGGGCTTGAACTTGGGACCAGGGCACTGTCCCTGAGCATTTTTGTTCAAGGCTAGCACTCCACCACTTGAGCCACAGTACCACTTCCGGTTTTCTGATGGCTTTCTTATTGGAGATAAGTGTCTCATGGACTTTCCTGCCTGGGCTGGCTTTGAATCCTGATCTTCAGATCTCAGCCTCCTGAGTAGCTAAGATTACAGGCGTGAGCCACTTACGCCTGGCAACTTTTCACTTTTGTAAAGGCTAATCTGCATAAATGTAGACACAGATAAATTTGTGCAATTTTATGTCATTTGCTTAAAAACCTCTGAACCATTTGACTATAACAGCAAAGTTTTTACTGTATAAATTTATGGTTTTAGTTTAACATGCAATCGCCTTTACCTCACAAAGTCCAGATTGGCCTTAATAAATCAGACTGATGAAGCTTTAAAAACAAAATCAAAGAGGGCTGGGAAGGTGGCTCAGTGGTAGAGCGCTTGCCTTGCATGCATGAGGCCTTGGGTTCTATTTCTCAGCACCACATAAGCTGAAAAAGCTGGAAGTGGTGCTGTGGCTCAGGTGGTAGAGGGCAAGCCTTGAGCTGAAGAGCTGAGGGTCAGCGCTCAGGCCCAGAGTTCAGGCCCCACGACCGGCAAAATAAAAACAAACAAAAAACAACAGAGTTTTAGAATGAGAAGTGGAAATTATCACAGGGACCACCTGAGCTACCTGGGCCGTTTCTCTGAGGCGGGCATTAAGTGTGCTGCTGCTTGGGTTGTCCTGAAAGCTTCCTGTTCTCACCATGCACAATGGCTGCTTCTTTGGTGTGTGTTTGCTGTATTATTAGGCATTTGATCTAGAGAACCTGTCATCAGTGGCTCACGCCTATAATCCTGGCTGCTCAGGAGGCTGAAATCAAGAGTCACTGTTTGGAGCCAGTCTGGGCAGGCAGATCTTTGAGAGACTCTCCATTTCCAATTAACCAGCAAAGAACTAAATGAGGAAATGTGGCTTCAATGGCTAAGCACCTGCCACAAGTGCAAAACTCGGGAGCACAAGCCCTAGTATTTGTGTTCACATACACACACACCCCTACACCTACAACTGTCTTGAGGCCCATGAGGGTTGTGTTTCTCTCAGGAGGGAGCTGTGTGACTTTGCATGCTTAGTTAGCTTCATCAGAGGCTCTGCTCAAAGTCCTGGGGGTACAGTAGTATTTTCAGACAGGCTTAACGTGGTGGGTGGTGTGTGTTTAGGGGACATACAGTTTAGTTCAAGTCCATATGGAGTTTACCACAGTGTCCTTCCTAAGGTTCAGGGCTTTCCCTGAGACGCAGTGTCCACCCTCGTGTCTTCCCTACACCTGCATCTCTAAGACTGAGCCTCCTGCTGGATGGGAAAAGGGATACTAAGACTGCTTCTTTGTGGGATGGGGCTTGGTAGCTAGGATTCTTTTTTTTTGGGTCTGGTAGTGGGGCCTGAACTCTGAGCCTGGGCGCTGTCCCTCAGCTCTTCAGCTCAAGGCTAGTGCTCTACCACTTGAGTCACAGCGCCACTTCCGGCTTTTTTTTCTTTTTGCTTATGAGGAATCGAACCCAAGGCTTCATGCATGCAAGGCAAGCGCTCTACCACTGAGCCACCTTCCCAGCCTGAGGGATTTTGTATTTATTTCTTCTAAAATCATTTTTTTCAATCATTGAAAAAATGCACATGGAAGAGGATCAAAGTTGGTGGACAGTGCTCCCTCTTCTCTGACCTGCCCAGCAGCCATCTTCCCGGGATTAGGCTGCCTTCAGGGGTGTCTCACAGGACTCCCCGGAGGGCCCAGGACTCAGCATTCCTAAGTAGTCAATATTCCTAAGCCTGGCCTTGCCTGTGTAATGTATACTGTACACACACACACACACACACACACACACACACACACACACACACACACACACACACACACACAAAAATAAAAATCTGCCGGGCGCTCGCCGGTGGCTCATGCCTGTAATCCCAGCTACTCAAGAGGCTGAGATCTGAGGATGAGGTTCAAAGCCAGCCCGGGCAGGAATATCTGTGAGACTCTTATCTCCAATAAACCACTAGAAAACTGGAAGTGGCTCAAGCGGTAGAGTGCTGGCCTTGAGCTGAAGAGCTCAGAGGAAGCGCCCAGGCCCAGAGTTCAAGCCCCATGACAAACAAACAAAAAACAAAAATAAAAATCTCAGTGTATTTTGTGATACTATTTTTTCTTTTCATTCAGTTGTGGAGAAATAAAAGTTTTCTCAAATAGTCATTTCTGTTTTTAAGATGTATTTTTTGCGTACAAGTATGGATCTAATGATTTTACAAGTTATTTTATGTTTAACTGTTTTAAAATTTTTTCAGTTGTCTTCATCAAGGTGCTCGTAGCTACTAGTGTCTGAATTGCAATGCCCATCAAAGGCCCATTTGTTCAAGGCTGCATCTTCAGCATGAAGCTGTTGGGAGGTGGTGGACGTTGTAAGAGGCGGAGCGTAGGGGAGGTCTGTAGGTCACTAGGGGTGTGGCCTTGAAGGAGATGTGGCCCTCCCTTCCCCTTTCTTAGTTTCCTGGGATGAAGTGAGAGTTTTACTTTGCCCTGGGCTCTGTACACTGTGTGCCACTTTGCCGGAGGCTCAGAGCAATGGGACCAGTTGAGTATGAGTGAAACCATGAGCTAACCAACCCGTCTCAGAGCTGTTTATATCAGTAATAAGAAGCTTCCTTAAACTTCTTTTCTTTTTCTTTGTTTTCAATCCATGGTATGCCCTTAACTAAAGTACATTATTGATGCAGAGAATTTGTTCCCAGAAAGAGACTGAGGATTGGCTCATGGTCCCATATTTTAAAAGTCAACCCAAAAGAGTTGGGCGTGCAGGTGGTTCACACCTGTAATCCTAGCTACTGAGGAGGCTGAGATCTGAGGATTGCTGTTCAAAGCCAGCCTGGGCAGGAAAGTCCATGAGACTGTCATCTCCAATAAACTGCTCAGAAAACTGGAAGTGGCGCTGTGGCTCAAGTGGTAGAGCGCTTGCCTTGAGCTGAAGAGCTGAGGGACAGCGCCCAGGCCCAGAGTTCAAGACCCACAACTGACAAAAAAAAAAAAGTTAACCCAAAAGTTGTGAAGGATATGTCAGGCATGAAATGGCAAAAGTGTAGTCAGTAGATGAGTACAAGGCAGCCACTGTTTCTCCAGTCTCTCCTCCGGCTCGTAGGGATTCTTGGTGAATGATCGGCCATGCATGCTGGTGAAGGCAGAAGGGCAGGTAGTGAGGGGATTGGATGCCATCTCACTGTTGCCGGTAGTTTGAGCTCCTTCTGCTCTGTGTGCGACAGATGAAGATATTATCCTGGGAGCCATGGAAGACAACTGTGAGACAGAGAAAGGGGACACCAGAGGGGAAGCGAGGCCCAGCGACGGCCAGGATCCCTTTCTGGCTAGGGATTACACTGGAAGAGGCAGGCATGTCTGTTGATGACAGGTTGGAATCTGTGTATCTTAGTTCAGGTAAGGACTGGGCTACCCGGAGCCTGGCCTGAGCACCACCCAAGGGGGACTCGGCTATTCAGGAGAGAGAGGGTACGGAATGCAGTCCAGATGAGGGGAGGCGGGAAGGGCTTCCCTGGATGAACTGTGTTTTTTAGTATTTATTTTGAAATACGACATATATGATAAAACCTGCCATTTAAAGAAGAGCAATACATACATACATCCAGTTGAAGAAATGTGAAGTGCTTGGGCTTTGGGAAGGCAGCTCAGACTGCTCTGGGTCATTCTCTCTCTACAGAGCCAGGGCCACTGGCCTGCCCTTGGCTCCCTGCTCTTCCTTGTTCTCTGTCTCGTGTGTGTGTGTGTGTGTGTGTGTGTGTGTGTGTGTGTGCACGCGCGCGCGCGCACGCATGTGCATGTGTGCCTTAAACAAGTTATTTTGCCTGTCTGTGAATTTTACCTCAATGGACCCAAACACTGCATTTTTCTTGGATTTGCTTCTTTCACCTACATATTTTAAAGCTATACCATGTTCATCGTGTGGTTTTAAAGCTATACCATGTTCATCGTGTGGTTTTAAAGCTATACCACGTTCATTGTGTGGTTCCTGGTTTGGGGCTGTTTAACATTATTGTTCTGGACAGGGTTTTGTAAGTTGGAGCCGAATCACTAGCTCACAGGTAGGCCATGTTTAGTTTAGTAGGTAATTCAGAGTGTCTTCCTGAATGTCAATTCTGCCACATGCACTCTTTCCGGTAGTTATAGCTTCCCAGAATTTCACATCCTTTCTACACTAGCCTTGTCCACCCTTGACCCTTTCTTGAACCTGGGTGCATGTGAAATGAACTCATTGTGGCTTTAGTTCTCTAATTACTAGGGAGAGCATGTAGCTGTTTGTGTGTCTCATCTGAATGTCCTCTTGGGATATCTTCAGCACATTTCCTATTCAGGTTTTCAGGTTTTACTTTCCTTTGTAATATACAAGGATCCCTTAATTTTATTCTTGTGTTCCTGGGGTTTGAATTCAGGGCCTCATAGTTGAGCCACAGCCAAACCCTCCCTCCCTCCCTCCCTCCCTCCCTCCCTCCCTCTCTCCCTTCCTTCCTTCCTTCCTTCCTTCCTTCCTTCCTTCCTTCCTTCCTTCCTTCCTTCCTTCCTTCCTTCCTTCTTTCCTTTCTCTTTTTTCTTCCCTCCCTCCCTTCTTTCCTTGATTTCTCTTTTTTATTTCCTTTCTCTCTTTTTTCTTTGCCTCCCTCTCTCCCTTCTTTCCTTCCTCTTTTTTCTTTCCTTTCTTTCTTTTTCTTTCCCTCCCTCCCTCCCTCCTTCCCTTCTTTCTTTTCCTCTCTCTCTCCTCTCTCTCTCTCTCTCTCTCTCCTCTCTCTCTCTTTCCTTCTCCAGTCCTGGGGCTTGATCTCAGGGCCTGGGCACTGTCCCTGAGCTTCTTTAGTTCAAGCTAGCATTCTACCACTTGAGTCATAGCACCACTTCCAGCTTTTTCTGTTTATGTGGTGTTGAGGAATTGAACCTAGGGCTTCATGCATGCTAGGCAAGCACTCTACCACTAAGCCACATTCCAAGTCCCCCTTTTTTCCATTTGTTATTTTCTGTGTTGGACCTCAGAGTATGACTTGGGTGGTCTAGGCTACGATCTTCCTATTTGTGCTTCCTTGTGCTGCTGGAGTGACCTGTGGGTCTCACTACACCAGCCATTGTGATTCTCCTGAAGCTGGGTTGGCGGCCGTTGCTACCATGCCCAGCCATTGATTGAGATGGAGTCTCACAAACGTCTATTTTTTCTGGGCTGACTTTGAGCCATAACCCTTTTGATCACAGTCTCCCGAGTAGCTAGGACTGGAGCTTGAACCATCACATCTGACTTTTCCCTTCCTTCCATCCCTTTTTCTCTCCCTCCCTCCCCTTTTCCCCTCCCTTCTTCTCTCCCTCCCTTCTTGTGATAATGGGGATTGAACTTAGACTCTTGCACTTGAAGTCAACTACCACTTGAGCCATGCCCTGAGTCTTTTTTTTTTTTTGCCTTAGTTTGTTTTTAATAGGATCTCAAGCTTTTGTGTGGACTGGCTTTTGACTACAATCTTCCTTTCTTGTGGAGTAGCTGAGATTATAGGCCTGTGTCATCCTGCCCAGCCTGGGTTTTGTCATCTTCCACAAAGCAAATGGGATAACCTTTTGTGTTTGTGTCTTAACATAATAACTAATAAACAAAAGGGATCAGTTTGTGAAAATGTCGTGGCTCACACATGTATAATAGCTTCTCACAGTCTCTTTCTTTGCTTCAAGGATTTTGACTCTTTCTTCTCTGCAAAAGAAGAGAATATTATTTATTCCTTCCTTGGTTTGGCACCGCCTCCAGGCTCAAAGGTAAGTTCAAATATCCTACTGTGGGTCTGTGTAGGTTAAAACAGAAGCACTGGGGCTGCATGATGATCTTTTTTTTTAATGGAAAAATTTAAAATTGTGATTGATTATATTTCACAGTATTGTGAGATAATGATACTTAGTTAAAGTCACAAACACATTCTAACCTTCATGGGGCAAATTGTCTTTATCGTGGTCTATAAAGTTACTGAATTCTATGAGCTTTGACAATGCAGTTATTTCTTCCACATCAGGTAATATGTACATTGCTTTCCTTTTGCTTAGTGTCCTGCTCATTCCCTCCCTTCCATTGCTGCCAAGGAGTTGCTTAGTTCGTTTTGATCAATGTGCAGTGCAGCTGATGGGTCCCACTGTTGTATGTTTTCCCCTGCATAATGATCTTTTATCTTTTTCTTTTTTTGTGTTGCTCCTGGGTTTGAACTCAGGGCCTGGGTGCTATTCCTGAGCTTTTGTGTTCAAGGCTAATGCTATACCAAGTACTTAAGCCACAACTCCATTTCAGGCTTTCCTGCCCAGGCTGGCTTCGAACTGCAATCCTCAGACTTTAGTCTCTTGAGTAGCTAGGGTTACAGGTATGAGCCACCAGTGCCCAGCTCGCATGATGATCTTTAGGCTGCAATGCTTCAAGAATTTGCCCTGTATCCTTCTACAGGGGTGTGGCAATCTCCTGTTGTTTCAGTCTTTGTGTTGGTGCTGCCAACACAAGCTCTCCTATGACTTTAGTACACACTTCAGTCAGAGAAAAGCGCATATGTTAGATAATGCAAAGTCTTTACTAAAAATGTTTGAGTTACGCTTTAAATATTTTTTTCTGTGTTTTTGCGTTGCCATAGTAAATTTTAGAATACTAAGGAATATAAAGACTAGGGTGTACCCTGTTCTAGAGCATTTGTTTAGCATGAGTGATACCCAGATTTTGATTCTCAGCACCACCATAAAAAAAAAAAACCTCTCAAAACAACAGAAAAAGAAAAAAAGGAAATATTAGTATACTTAATAATTTGAAGTATGTTTATTAAATATTGAGTAGTAAGGGTGATGTTGATCAAGGTGCATTCTACTTGTCAAGACATGTTGAACTGAAACTCCTTTGTACAACTACTTAAAGATAATAAAAAATGAAAAATGAAAAAATTAAAAAAAATAGTAAAACTATGAACTCCTAGGTCATATATGCAATTATTTTGTCATGAATTAAGTTTTGCACAGCTTATATTAAATAACTTCAAAATGATAGCTATCCTTGCATGAATGCTTTCCAATTAAAATTAATTGAAATTAGCTTGCTAAGTTTGATAAAAATGGGAAAGTAAAATGAAGACTCAAACTCTAGAGAGATTTCATTGGCTTCTTTCCTCCAGAATTGTGTTATCTTTGATTATGTTAAAATTTATTAGAGATTTAAATTAACTATGCCAATAAAGTCAGTGTCACAAATTTGGGTGTGGAATGCAGACGACTCTCTTCACTCTACACCAACCCTGTGCCTATTTCTGTAACTGAGACTCATTCACTTGATGGTCAAAATTGCCATTCATTCCTATGATTTTGTTTACACTTAGGAATATATCATTATGATCTCATAATGGTCTGTTAAGTAGTTTATATAATATTAAGATTTTTTTTGCCAGTCCTGAGGCTTGAACTTATTTATGAGTGCTGTCTTTGAGCTTTTTGCTCAAGGCTAGCACTGTGCCACTTGAGCCACAGCTCAAATTCCAGCTTTTTTTGGTGGTTAATTAGAGAATCTCCTGGACTTTCCTTCCCAGTCCTGCTTTGAACTGTGATCCTCAGATCTCAGCCGCTCACAAAGCCAGGATTACAGGCGTGAGCCACTTGGTATTATAAGCAGTTTTAAGAATATAAATTTGTGTGTTGCCATGCTGTAATTTTTGGCTGCTGACCATACTTTATTATGAGTAACTCTGCAGGAATTGTCACTGGAAGCAGGGTTCTTTCGGAAAATTTCCTTGGGATCAGTCTCAAGTAGCTGTTGAAGTGAGACAGAGGCACATGGCTGTAGGGATTTGCGATGTCCACCAGATCCCGCTGTGAGAGGGTGGTGACATTTGTCCTCTCTCAGGCAGAGGCCAGGCTGCTGGTGCCTCGCCACACGGAGGGTGTTTAGTGTCCTTGATCCCGGGGCCATTCCATTCTATTTTAAACATTTGTTTCTGCTTCTGTTGTGCTCTGAAGCGAATCTGGTCTGACAAGTTTCTGTCTTAAGCATATACCCATTGTGCTTTTTTTTTTCATATTGTCTAAAATTGACACATGAACGCGATGAGCATTGATCATGTCCCAGAGCCTGGTGTTTTGAAGTGTGAATACATTGTGCAGGAGTCCACTGAGTTTATGAGCCTTCGTGTTACTTTATTTAATTTGTTTTTTTTCATTGTGGGGCCTGAACTCGGCCTGGGCACTGTCCCTCAGCTCTTCAGCTCAAGGCGAGCGCTTTACCACTTGAGTCACAGTGCCACTTCTGGCTTTTTCTGCTTATGTGGTGCTGAGGAATTGAACCCAGAGCCTCATGCATGCAAGGCAAGCACTCTACCACTGAGCCACCTTCTCAGCCCCTCACATTACTTTATATATTATCAATATTTGTGGTGAGGACACTTAAAGTTTACTCTTATGAGTTTCCAAATTGCACTATCTTCTCATTTTCTACTGCCACCTTTTTGTGTACAACGAGTTCTTCACTGTATTCTCTTTACTATATGGCGTGTACTTTCATCTCTTTATGAAAACACCATTTTTATGGGTGCAATCAAATATTTTTATTCTGTTTCTATTTACTCAGATGAAGATAAAAACAGTTTTGAAACTGATTCTAATTCTTTGGAATTTTGGCGTAAATGGTATGATGAATCTCTGTTATGGCCTCAGAGGAAAGCACCACTTTTGAATATTAAAAGATAATTCTTATCAAATGAATACTTGTCAAAAATTGGAACAGAGTCCTATGGGGTTCATTGTGTACAATGGCCCTGCTTAGACACAGACCGTTGGAAGAGGTGGTTTTCCCTTTCCCTACCCTCTGTAGTTTGCTAGGTGCAGAGTTTCAGGGTGTGCCTTTCTGCACCCCTGTGCTGGGCAGTGCTGCCCGACTTCTCCCGCGACCCAGCATGCTGAGGAACCTGGTTTGGAGAGGCTGTGGGGCTCTTCGTGCTGAAGTTCTATGAAGAGGTGCCAGGGACAGGTGTTTCCCTCGTCCTCTGTGGCGGGCTTTAGCTGTACCCTCCATCGAGGAAGTCATGTCTTCACGTCTAGAAGATGAGATGCTGGCGGTGCAGCTCTTTGTGTGGGATTCACAGAACCCCGGCGGGCAGAGCGGGCCAATGATTAGATGGCATGTTAGGGGTGGGTGAGCTCCAGCAGAACTGGGTTGGTTGCTTTGCTTTGAGAACAAGTTGATAGGAAGAGAGACAACACCCTGGCTGATTCCATGGGCTTGGATTCCCCAGCCTCTAAGACTTTCTAAGTTCCTGGTCTGGTCTGGCTGAGTCACTCAGCCTCAGGCGTTCCGTAACAGCAATAGGAAATGTAGTTGGATAGGTTGCTCTTTGAAGACCTGATAGACGGTGATAAGTAAAAGAAGATAGTACCGGCAGCGAGGCTTTGCTGTAGTGTGGGAGACACTGGAATGTATGGTGCGGACCTTGGGGAGGGAGGAGGAGGTTTCGGTAGAGCCCAGGCACAAGGATGGGCGAAGACAAGAGAAGAGACCAGGCAGGTGCAGGCAGCACTGCTCAGCATCCTCCATGACTTCGGCTCTCAGCCGTGGGAAGGGATGAAGAAGAGGTTGGTGAGTGAGCCCTGTAGAGAAGCAGTGTGGAAGATGATAGAGAAGGACAGGGCCCATGCCCCACCCTCTGATCCTCACACACAGCTCCTAGCACATAGTAGGCGCTCAGCTCTGAAATGGAGGTAAATGCTGAGATACTAAAGTCAGGGGGACACTGTCAATACTGAATGCAAATTGAATGTAAGTGGGACACATCTGTTTATGTAACTTACCTTTTTTCATCTTCTTTATTGTTATTATAAAGGTGATATACAGAAGGCTTACCATTTCATAAGTCAGGCAAAGAATACATTTCTTTTTGGACAATGTCACCCCCTCCTTTGCTCTTTCCTAGTTTTCCCTCCCCTCCCCACCCACAAGTTGTGCAGGTCATTTTTACCATAGCATCTACACAGCTTTTTATTTTTTTGGAAAAAAGAAAAAAAAGAACCTTCTTTTGAGATCTATCCTTGCTGACTCCTTCTAAGTCTAGTTCACTTTCTACCATGTGTTATCTCATCATTATCTGTGGGCATTCTATGTACAGTAGCGCACCAAAGCTCTTACTCCTGTCTGACTGTAACTTCCTACCATTGATTGCCCTCTGCCTGTCCCTCCTTCCCCATGCTCTCCCCTGACTTCGGAAGCCACATTTTCTTCCTTCCTTCCTTCCTTCCTTCCTTCCTTCCTTCCTTCCTTTCTTTCTTTCTTTCTTTCTTTCTTTCTTTCTTTCTTTCTTTCTTTCTTTCTTTCTTTCTTTCTTTCTTTCTTTCTTTCTTCCTTTCTTTCTTTCTTTCTTTCTTTCTTGGGTCCAGTCATAGGGCCTGAACTCAGGGCCTGGGCGCTGTTCCTCAGTTCTTCAGCTCAAGGCTAGTGCTCTACCACTTGAGCCACAGTGCCACTTCTGGTTTTTTCCTTTCTGCTTATGTGGTGCTGAGGAATCGAACCCAGGGCCTCAGGCATGCAAGGCAGATGCTCTACCACTGAGCCACCTTCCCAGACCCAGAAGCCACGTTTTCTACTTGTGGGATTCCATCTTCAAAAAAGTCCACATATGGTCCATGTCACCAAATATTTATCTTACTGATCCCAGCTTACCTTACATAACATGGTGGTCTCCAATTCCATCCAGGTTGTTGCAAATCATCTCAGTTTTTAGATCCTAGTTTTAAGCCTTGATTTGGGCTTAGGTCTTGTCATAGTCCATGAAATTCCCTTTCCTTGGGGGAAAAGGATGGCCTATTTGAATTCTTCCTCTGGAGAGGAGCATCTCAGTGCTTGTCTGCAGCCATCCCACTCCTCAGCAGCACAGCCATGCTCTCTATCTCTGGGTTTGCTGGTGTTTGTGCATGCACACAGAGAAAGTACCTCAAGTATCCTTGGAAAGACAGATGCTTGATTTATGCAAACGATATGACTTGTTGCAGTGTTGGATTGTCGTAAACAACATTGTGGAGAAGTGTCAGCAAGGAAAATTAATCTTGATCAAGCTAAAAATAGACACCCTTGACAGTTACGTAGAAATTTAAATTTTCCATGTCTTAGGCAGGCCACACCAGGCCAGTTACCAGACAGGTTTTTCCCAAGAAGGCTTTGTCAGGAAGCTTTTGCTCCACGAAGTCTAACTTAGCTCTTTAAAGGAGGGCTCACAACTGATAGTCATTCTTAATATGGTGTTCCAGGCAAGGCCATTTCAGGCAAGGCCATGGTTGCATAGACGAGGTTTTACTCATGCCCTGGCAAGAAGAAAGATTGATTCTTGTTAAAGCTGTGCAAATAACTCAATTGTCCTAAGAGTAAGATAGGTACTCTAGGGGCTGGGTAGGTGGATCAGTCATAGAGTGCTTGCCTTGCATGCATGAGGCCTTGGGTTTGGTTTCTCAGCACCACATAAACAGAAAAAGCTGGAAGTGGAGCTGTGGCTCAAGTGGTAGAGTGCTAGCCTTGAGCTGAAGAGCTGAGGGACAGCACCCAGGCCCAGAGTTCAAGCCCATGACCACCACCACCACCACCACCACTCTAGTTCAATAAAGTAGATTCAGTGAGAAATTGAATTCTGAAGGGGTTAAGCAAGGAGGGTAAGATGTCAGTTACACATATTTCCTTTTGGTTTGCAAAGTCAGAGTGTTACATTTTCGTGATCTACAAGGTGGGAGAGGAACAACCAAGGACTTTCCTGTATGCCCAGTAAACATCCATCATCCAGACAGAAATTCCTATTGCTTCTCACCAGTTCACTTCATTTTATGTAATTAATTCTTACTCAGAAAGAGAGAGGGTAGGGGAAAGTGTGGGCCAGAAGACACAGCACAAGATCAGCTAGGGGCCTGAGGATTCACTGGTGATGCAGACTAGCTACAGGATGAACCACATGCTCTGCAAGCCTTAAACCCATGTGGAGATTTGGAGAGATGAGGATTGGTGACACCATTCCAGTGTGAAAGGCCAGACTTGGTGAAGACAAACATTTTGTTGTTTCCCTCATCTTGAGAAGAGGCCTCCTGAGACCGATCCACTCTGGGGACTGAAAAAACATTATGGCTCAAGGAATCTTGGTACACCTCTCCTCATGTCTGGGTGGGAGACCATGTGAGAGGTGGGGTGGAGAGTTAGAGGTTTCGCAGACTCTCTGAGAGCTTCAGCAGCAGCTTGCTGGGGCGAGGAAGGGTGCGGTGGCTGGAGGCCTCACCCCCTGGGTCATGGAGGCAATGGAACATTGGCTGCTGAGTCCAGTGCTGAAAAATCGCTCTTTGCATGGCTACTATGCTGTCTTTCCTGACCACTGAAGGTGCCCATTGAAAGACTGCAGGTGATTAAAACTTTCAGCCACTGACTTGGCCTCAGATGCACAAATTCCAACACAGAAGCAATAAATATGAAATGAAACCTCTCCAAAACAAGGCAACATGACTCTGCAATTCCAGAGACTCCGTAGCTCCACAGTAGCAACCATGCAGCAAGCAGCAAATAATTTAAAAATTCTCTCAGGCCATCAATGGAATTAAAGAGGACACAAATAAATGCTTGAATGTATTCTAAGGGAACACAAAGAGCTGAATGAAATAAAAGACAAAGCAGGGCATAGAAAATGGATTCAATAAAGATACAGAAATTCTGAAAAAAGATCAGTTTGAAAATTCTGGAAATGAAAAGATGAATAAGTCAAATTGAAACTCAGTTGAAGATGGATACAATGGCTCACACTTGTATTCCCAATTACTTGGGAGGCAGAGATAGGAGGATCTCTATTTGAAGCTATCCCAGCCCCCCTCCAACCCCCCCCCAAAGTTAATAAGACTCTCTCAAAAAACAAACTGAGTCAAGGAAGGGGTGACATTGTAAAAAAAGAAAAAGAAAATAAATGTATTTATTATCTGATTTATTAAATGACAAGCCCTCTGTATAATAATAAATATAATAAAATTATACTTTAAGAAAAAAACTCAAAACTAAGCTGGGTATATTGGTGCATGTCTGTAATCTAAGCTATGGGAAGAGGTAGGAGAATCACAGTATAAGGGTGACCTGGTCAAAAGTGCAAGGTCTATCTGAAAAATAGCTAAAGTAAAAAGGACTGGGTGTGTGGACCAAATGGTAGAGCACTTGCCTATCAGGAGCAAGGTAGTGAGTTCAGATTTCAGTACTGCCAACAGACAAACCTCACTTGGAGTCTCTCTAGTAGGCTGGACCAAATTAAAGACTATCAGAGCTTAAAAAGAAGGTAGACACATTGGAACATTCAGATGAAGGTAAAGGAAAATAAAGAAGTACACAACATTTAAGCTCACTTGGACACCATTTAAGAGACCAAACATACAAGTTATAGGCATAGAAGAAGTATAAGCTAAAGGCATAAACCATATTCAATAAAGTCATAACAGAAAACTTCCCAGATCTTGAAAGATGGTAAGGTTTTCCAGGTACAGGAGTGTTTTAGGTAAGAGCAGCCAAGAACCTCTCCAAGGCATATTAGAGTTGAAGCATTCGCCACACAGAACAAAAGCTCAAAAGAGAAGCTGTGAGTCACTGTTAAGGCAAACCTTCAGAATAGTAGTAGATTGCTCAACAGAGACCTTAGAGGCAAGGAAGGCATAGAATGAGATCTTTGAAGCCCTGAAATCAAGTAATGTCAATCATAATTCTTATCTTGAAAAAAACAAGGCCTCTACTATCTGTGCATGCTAGGCAAGAGCTCTTATCACTTAGCTCCATCTCCAGCCTTAGACCTCTGCTTCATATCTGTGGAAAATGAAATTCTAGTGGATTAAAGGTCTAGATATTGATAAACAGTATGGAGTAATAGAACATATTTTACACGCTAAAATTTAGATATACATATCCATATAAAAGGCCAACAATTTTTGTAACAAAATGTATACAAATCATAGATTAGGGTAAAAACATTTGAATGTGGCAAAGGTTAGGTATTTGTATCATATGAGAACCTCTGAAACTGATAAGAAAGGAAAAGTACATATGAATGGGTAAACCAGGAAGGCGGTATCAAAGCAAGGCGTAAGCGGCTAGAAATAAATTTATGAAAAATATGTTCTTTCTTCCCAGTCATTAGGATGATGCAGAAATGAAATTCTATTTTACTTTGAACACGTTGACCAACGTAAAAAGAATAATTGTTGCTGGGCAACGTGGTTCACAAACCACAAGGCTGAGACCTAGAGGATCATGGTTGGAAGCCAGTCCAGGAAGAAGAGTCCTGGAGACTCCATCTCCAGTTAACCAGCAAGAGCGGGGCTGGAAGTGTGACTGAAGCAGTAGAGCACTAGCAAGCAAAGTGAGGAAGCGGGAGGCTCAGAGTTCAACTCCAGCACCTGCACCAAAATGACAAGAAAAGAAAATACGAATTGCTATCACCCAACAAAATATCCTCACTGCTTTATTATTAGTATTATTCGTAGAGACACAGTTGGAACATCCCTCAAATAGGAAGGTTTTGAATGAATTATGTATTAACTATGAAGCATATGTTAAAAAGAATGGTCAGAATTATTTCAGTTAACCTGGACAAATGTCCTTGCTACATTAACAAAATCAGCTCATTTCTGTTCCAAAATACACAAAAATAAGAAGGAAAATAACTCATCCCCAAATCACCTTTATGTATTGGGACAGGATTAGAAGGATCTAATTAAAAAATGGATTGTTATTTCCATGAACCTGGAAGGGGTAACACAGCTTGGGAACCATGGCTAAGCTGATAGAGCATCAGGAGGGAGGCATAGTCCAGCCCTGCCTTGCCTGTGCTTTCCTGTTCTTGTCACTAGAGCGTGGGTGGCCAGGGCTGCTCACACAGACTGGCCACACTGTACGCTGTGGATTAAATACAGAATGAAGAGTTAAAAGACACTGAATTAATTTATACCATGCAGGTGACAAAGTCGCCCGAGGAAGCGTCTTCTCTCCCCAACGGCGACGTGGCTGGAGAGTCAGAGAGTGCTGCCCAGGTAAGAGCCGTGTGGCAGCCCTCTTCCCACTGCTGGGGTCCTCAGGGTAGCTGCCCGGGCCCATCTGTCTGTCTGCCTCATTTGTTCACACCCACCCACCTATGATGGATCATGTCCATAAGCCTCAAAGAGGCTAATAGAGACCCCTCAGCCGGCCGGCGTATGCCCATGATCTGGGGGAGTGGCAGCCTTTGCAGTGGGCAGCTCCGTGACCTCCCACAGGAGAGGCCTGCAGGGACATCGCAGGATCTGAACAAGGAGGCCGCAGCAGGCCTGGCTGTGCTTCTCCTCGGGAGCTTACCGAAGGTCCCTGGTAACCTGGTAACCTGGCTCTCCGTTCTGATCAGGGCACAGAGAAGACTGAAGCAAGTGGAGAAAATGAGGGGCAGAAAGAGGAGGGTGAAGATGCGGGCAACCTCCCCGAGTCCCAGGAGAAGCCCGTGAGTGTTGCTGCGTCGTTTCATGCAGGGTTTGGTCTGTCTCTCATTTCCTTGGCTCCACAGCAGTGGGGGAGGAGGTGAGCAGAGGGTTAGCTGGGTGGATTGCAGGTAGCTTCTGTTACTATGGTAACCGTGTGGGCCCGGTGTAGAGAGACAGATGAAAGCAGGGAAAGGCAGAAGGAGGACCCAGAGGACCCGGAGCAGGGCCTGGAGGCCCAGCTGGATGGGGCCTCACCAAGCCTGGCTGTGCGCTTGTGGAGCTGTTAGTGGTGGTTGGTGTATGTTCTCTGTCCACCTTGGTCCTTCCAACTCCTACCTACACCAGCTTCACAGCCCGTCTACTTGGGAAACAGAGACCAAGGGATGAAATGTATTTGTGGGGTGACAAGATTAAAGATTAAAAGGAGCCTGGGGGAGGAGGCACATGAGTTTAAGCCCAGTCAGGGGAGGACAGGTCCCAGAGAGGCTGAAGCACAGATCTGATCCTAAAGTGCTTCCTGTTAGGTACAAGAGGATGGCACCTGGGGGAGGGGGAGGGGACAGTGGGTGATAGGCAGGCCACCTGGAATTGTGGGAATGTGTCTGGGAAGATAGGCGGGGGGAGCATGCATGGCAGGGCTGGGCCGAGCCTCTCTGGGGAGGAATTTCAGCAGAACATCAAGAGAACTGCATAAAATGATGGAAGTGTCCCGTTTCATAAAATTCATGTTTGTATTTGGCTTTTATCAGATAAAATTATTATTATTTTTTAAAAAGATAGCTTTGGCCTCATTTTTTGACTTAAAATTTTTTTACTGTTATTATTATTATTATTTTTGTCAGTCGTGGGGCTTGAACTCTGGGCCTGAGCGCTGTCCCTCAGCTCTTCAGCTCAAGGCTAGCATGCTACCACTTGAGCTACAGCGTCACTTCCGGTTTTCTGGTGGTTTATTGGAGATAAGAGTCTCATGGACTTTCCTGCCCAGGTTGGCTTTGCATCCTGATCCTCAGATCTCAGCCTTCTGAGTAGCGAGGATGACAGGTGTGAGCCACCGGCGCCCGGCTTTTACTGTTATTATTAAGGTGATGTACGGAGGGGTTACCATTCCACAGGTCAGTCATTTCTTTTTGGGCAATATCACCCCTTCCTTTACTTTCCTCTGTTTCCCCCTCCCGTCCCCAGCCACAAGTTGCATAGTTCATTTTCAACATAGTGTGGTAAGATTATTTTACCGAAAAGCTCAAATCATTCTGAGTCGCAATCTTTGACTGAAAACCTGTAAGCCCTCAGTTGGTTGATTGACACGTGATCAGGATGCATTCTCCAGGAAAGCTCCTTTCTCAAGCCAAATGTTGGTGTGGGTGGCCAGGAGCTTGGCTGTCTAAGGCGGGACCCTAGCAGGGCCTGCCATCCGGCCAGCCTGGAAGGCCAGAGCCCTCACAGATCTCCCTCACGGCCCTCGGCTCCCTCCTCTGTCCCCTGCTGACACTCATCACCGCTCACACCTGCCTGGCTCTGGCCGCAAGCCCTGAGGCCCTGGCCAACCTCCCAGCAAAAACAGCCACCGTGGAAGGCCTCAGCCTTCTCACTTCTCCTCTTGGATCCTTCAGTCACCTGTCTCCACGTCTGTGGTTCACACCATGGTGGATAATCTTGCGAGAGCTTATCTTAGGTAACCAGGCAATCACAGTTCAGGTATCTTTTTTAAAAAGCCAGTTTTCAATATAATTATTTGCCACTATGAAAGTTAGTTCAAGCTTTGTACGAGGACTTGTAAGAACCTGCCCAATTCTACTTCTAATAACAATAATAATACAATTACATTGTGTGCCAGGCTTTGGGCTTGAACTCAGGGCCTGGGTGTTCTCCCTGAGCTTTTGTACTCAAGGCTAGCGTTCTACCACTTGAGCCACAGCTCCACTTCCAGCTTTTTTGGTAGTTAATTGGAGATAAGAATCTCCTGGACTCAGCTGGGAAGGTGGCTCAGTGGTAGAGTGCTTACCTTGCATGCCTGAGGCCCTGGGTTCGATTCCTCAGCACCACATAAGCAAAAAGAAAAAAGCCGGAAGTGGCACTGTGGCTCAAGTGGTAGAGCGCTAGCCTTGAGCTGAAGAGCTGAGGGACAGTGCCCAGGCCCAGAGTTCAGGCCCCACGACCGGACCCCCCCCCCCCCAAAAAAAAAAAAAAAAAAAAAAGAATCTCCTGGACTCTGTTGTCCAGTGTTGGCTTGCAGTTGCAATCCTGAGTAGGTAGGATTACAGGCATGAGCCACTGGCACTTGGCCTAATTGCTTTTTGTGTATGTCTGTACTGGTATTAGGATTCAAACTCAAGACCTTGTCCTTTTGCTCAGTTTACTTGCTCATGGCTAGCCCTCTACCAGTTGAGCCATGCTTCCAGCCCAGCATTTTGCTGGTTCATGGAAATAGTGTTTCATCATCTTTTTTGGCCTGACTGGCTTCAAACCTCAGTTCTCTAATTCTTAGTTTCCTAAGTAGCTAGGACCACAGGTGTGAGCCCTGGGCATCCTGCTTGATCTTGTCTGATTCTGTGAGATAAAGTTCAATGTTCTTTTGTTATGTTTTGTTTTTCCTGCTGGTCCTGGGACTTAAACTCAGGCAGGGCCGGGCACCGTCCCTGAGTCTCTCTGTTCTCAGAACTAGCAATCTAGCATTAGAGTCACAGCACCACTTCTGGCTGGAGATAAGAGTCTTCTGGGGATTTTCTGCTAGGGCTGGCTTTGAAGTGTGATCCTCAGATCTCAGCCTCCTGAGTAGCTAGGATGACAGGCGTGAGCCTCTGGTGCCAGGTGGCAGTTTGTTATTTTTGTTTTTTGTTAGTTAACCTATCCCATCTCATGCTGAGAAGGATTAGAGGCAGGGAAAGCATTATAGAAATGCTTTCATTCAACATTCTCTCCACCTATTCAAACTGCCCTCCCCGGGCGGAGTTCGGGGAGGGCCCATCGCGGCTGAGTCTGCTGGCTCAGGAACTGGTGTTCTGGTGGGCCAGAGACACAGCCTCCAGACACCTTCCCCGCTCCCTGACCTTTGGGGCTGTCTGTGTAAGTTCTCTGAGCACGTACTTTCCCTTCTAGCCTCTCTTCCAAGAAATTAAGGTCAATTTGAATATACGATGGAGAGGGCAAAGTCTCTCTGTAATGTGTTTTTTCCATGCCTCAATGTATTTTGTGTATTTTATTTTGTAGATATAATTTTATTGTTATTATTATGGTGTACAGAGGGGTTTCTGTTTCATAAGTCAGGTAATGCGTGCATTTCTGGTTTTGGACAGAGTCACCTCTTCCTTTCCCCCAGTTTCCCCCTCCTGTTCCTGCTCACGGTTACACACTTCATTTTCCACACGCTGTTTTCTGAATAGCATGATTGCACCATTTATTCATCCTCCCTTCCTGTACTCTCCTTTATCCTCCCCAAAGGGGGGGGCAGAGCAAAACCAAACACCACCACCACCAATAACAATCACAACCCCACCCCCAGTGTTTCCATTTCCTGGAATACCCTTTGATAAACAGTATTTTAAATGTTCAGGGGAGTTTCACCTGTGGGGTCCTCCCCTAGGGGTATCCTCCTTTTGTGTGTGTGTGTGTGATCCTAGGGTCCTGTATAGATTATTGTATCCAGTTTAATTTTAGATCTAGCTTCTGAATACGAGAGAAATTATGTGCTGTTTGTCTTTCTGAGCTTGATTTACTTAATATGATTTTTTCTGGGTCCATCCATTTCCCTGCAGATGGCATAATCTTATTCTTCCTCATGGATGAGTAATAAATATTTTTCTGTGTATAGGTACCACATTTTATTAAACCACTCATCTGTTGTAGGGTATCTGGGCTGTGTCCATAACTTGGCTCTTGTGAATAGTGCAGCAATGAACATGGGTGTAATTTCTTCTTAAATTATATGAATCAAAGCTAATCCTATAAGACTCCGCTGCCTCCAGGCTCACATTAGTATCTTGTTTCAGCTAGATCTAATCAGTGAAGATAATTAGATTGGGGGGGGGGAAATAAATGACTTGTCCACTGCTGTTAATTCTATACTACCTAGAGTACATGTTAATCTGATTGTGTTCTCTTTGAGAGCCACAGGCACTGTGTTCTTCCTCAGTCATCTGACATGCATTTAGGAGCTAACACCTTGCTTCCAGAAAACTGTCCTGGAAATTTAACAAATAAATAAGACGCAGATTATGCCCTACAGATAGTGGGGTGTGGGTGGGGGTGGGAGCAGATAACAGGCTCCCCAAACTCAGCTTTAAGGGTCTTTGTTGCAAACAGCAGAGTCCTGGAAGGGTGTCCCTGTGGCTCAGTATGGCTGGGATAGAATGGGCAGGGGTGAAGCAAGGCGGACAGGCAGGAATCTAGGAGTCTCCAGACATGGAGGTTTGCCCACGCCAGCGGCATGTTTAGGCTTATTGTGTGTTGGAGCTACTGTGTGGAGAACAGATTGGAAATGAAGAAGGGGGCATGGTGACCCCTTGGGGGTAGGGGGTCCTTGCCGTAGCCCAGATGAGCGAAGGCAGGCGGGCAGCGCCCGGAGTATATAACAGGAGCAAGCAAGGCGTTTTCCTCCCGTTACTTCCACACATCCGAATGCGGGATTAGTTGGAGAATCCTCTTGGCCCGGGGCTTGGCCTCGGTGCCAGGCAGTGATGATCTGTGCCAGTTGCTGAGATCTGAAGGTATTGTTCTGGAACTGGCCTGTGGTATAGGCGGGGACTGGGGAAGAGTGCTGGGTCCTCTGTAGCCTGGCTTCTGGAATGTGCTTGGTCCTGTTCTCAGTCTTGAGAGGCAGCCTGGCAGAGGAGAACGGATGCCAAATTAGGAGTCAGGAGTCTGAGGCCTGATTGTATTGACAAATTACTTGACCACAATCTCAGCTCTGTCCAGAGGCTGGAGAGAGGGTGCAGATGACAGCCAGACTGCTTTGCACCCCAAGTACTCTGGCTCACACCTGTGATCTCAGAAGGCTGAGATCTGAGGATCGAGGCTAGAAGCTATCCCAGGCAGGAAAGTCTGTGAGATTCCCATCTCCAATTAACCAGAAAAATACTGGCGATGAAGCTGTGGCTCCAGCTAAGGGACAGCATCCGGGTCCTGGGTTCAAGTCCCAGTATAGCACACATAAGCAAGATGGCTTCGCAGACCGTCCAGGTTCCAGCTGGTGCTGCTGGCCTGGGAGGCAGTGGGGATGGACTACCAGGATGGCTCTGGGAAGCTGGAAGCTGTCACTATTTAATGATGCTGAGGAGCCTCTGGCCCTGCCATGTTGGGAGGTGCTGGACAGAGCTCTGGCCTCCTTCTTAGAGCTGTGAGCTAGGAGGTGTGCAACGAGTTTGTTACCCTGATCTGGAGGACGTTAGGGATTGGGGGCAGGCAGCAGACCTCTTACCTCTTCAAGTCTGGGGCAACAGTGCTCTTCTTTTTTTTTTTGTCGGTCGTGGGGCTTGAACCCTGGGCCTGGGTGCTGTTCCTGCGCTCTTCAGCTTAAGGTGAACACTCTACCACTTGAGCCTCAGTGCCACTTCCGGTTTTCTGGTGGTTTATTGGAGACAAGAGTCTCATGGACTTTCCTGCCTGGGCTGGCTTTGAACCACGATGCTCAGATCTCAGCCTTCTGAGTAGCTAGGCGTGAGCCACCAGCACCTGGCTAACACTGCTGTTTTTTTCTTTTTTCTTTTTTTGCCAGTCCTAGGGCTTGAACTCAGGGCCTGGGCACTGTCCCTCAGCTCTTCAGCTCAAGGCTAGCGCTCCACCATTTGAGCGACAGCGCCACTTCTGGCTTTTTCTGCCTATGTGGTACTGAGGAATAGAACCCAGGGCCTCAGGCAGGCAAGGCAAGCGCGCTACCACTGAGCCATCTTCCCAGCCCAACACTGTTTTTGTTTTTTTTTTTTTTTTGTCGGTCGTGGGGCTTGAACTCTGGGCCTGGGCGCTGTCCCTCAGCTCTTCAGCTCAAGGCGAGCGCTCTACCACTTGAGCTACAGCGCCACTTCCGGTTTTCTGGTGGTTTATTCGAGATAGGAGTCTCATGGTCTCTCCTGCCCGGGCTGGCTTTGAACCTCGATCCTCAGATCTCAGCCTCCTGAGTAGCTAGGATTACAGGCATGAGCCACCAGCGCCCGGCTTAACACTGTTGTTTTTTATACTTGGCAAGCTTCTTTTTCTAAGCAGAGATTACTGTTTAAATGCTTCACGGGTCACAATGCTGTTGCTCTGTTTCCATGCTCTGGACTCTGTAGACAGCTGTATCTGTTGGCACTGCACATATTATTAAGAACTGTTACTAGTTAATGACATTTTCTCACTAGTATGAGCGATGGAAAGGGATCTGTAAGCTCACATTATCTTTTTTCAGGCCTGAGATACATAGGGGCCACCCGATGCTCACAGCCCTGCAGGGTGCGTGCTTCATATGTACACGGATGTGCATGCTTCATATATACATGGATGTGGAATTCACTTAGATGAACTTTGTGTTGGTTGGTCATGGGGCTTGAACTCAGAGCCTAGGTGTTGTCCCTGATCTTATGGCTTGTACTCTACCACTGAGCCACAGCTCCACTTCCAGTTTTCTGGTGGTTAATTGGAGATGGAAGTCTCACAGACTTTCCTGCCTGGGCTGGCTTTGAACCGCGATCCTCAGATCTCAGCCTCTGGTGTAGCTGGGATGAAAGGCGTGAGCCACTGGTGTCAGGCTAGATGAACTGCTTTCTTACAGTAGCGTGCATAGATTTGGGATTCAACTGAACGCTGACTTGAATTATGATTTTGTTTTCCTTTCTTTCTGGAGCTCAGGAAGAAGAAGGAGAGAGTGCAGCGGGAGAGGTACGGCCTGCCCTTAACCACTGAGTGCAATCAGCTTAGTTGACAGGACGGCTAGGTGAGGGCCTTGAAGCCCTCGCTCCGCCTCCCCCCTTCCCCGCCCCATTCTTTGTGGAGTAAGAGGGCCAGGGCTACCCCACACTCCAAGAACCCTCCCGAGGCCTGTGACCCAGGGGCCTCCTTCAGATGAAGTTGTGCCCGGAAGGCAGGCAGAGGCCGTGCGGGGCTGGAGCTCCCAGTGTCGGTGAGACTAATCGCTTCCCATTGATGGTCAGCAGTACAAAGCAACCGAGTTCTGTGCATGGAAGTGTGACTGATAAAAAACACCACTGTCAGGAAGGTAAAAACATGTTGGCCGTATTTCATCCCCTGACTGTGGATGGCTAGAGGCAGTTCTGTGGGGCCAGTGTGCTAATACAGAGGTGTGTGTGTGTGTGTTTCCATCACAGTGTCTCTCTGAGAGGCTGCAGGCTTTAGGATCTTACCTCCTCTTTCTTTGTGTCTCTGGCCCTGTTTCTCCATAATGTCTCCATGCTGATGGATTCTGTGACCCCAGACGGAAGAGATAAGGGAGGAGGCTGAGGAGGAGGCGGAGGGGGAGGCCGAGGAGGAGGAGGCCAAGGAGGGGGAGGCCGAGGCCCAGGCAGCTGAAGGAGAAGAGGAGCCAGGAGAAGGGGAGGATTCTTAGGCCTGTTCCTGCTGAAGCCTCCAATTTGCCAGGTAAGCCGAGAATTCAGGGTGGAGGTGCAGGGGGAGGGGCAGTCCCAAATCATAACACCCGCCCCCACCCCCTCTCGGGCTCCAGGCACACCAGCACCAAGGCCCCTCTCCACGCATCTCTGGCTTGGCACTGCGGTGGGTGGATTTCCAGGCAGAGGCACCCCTGATCCAGGAGGCGCTGCCGTGGGCACTTCCCGGCCTCGGTGCCCCTTTGCTCAGGAGCTGCCGGTGCCTGTCCCTGCACCTGTGCTTCTGAGGGGAGTGGTGATCGCTGTTCACAGCAGCAGGAACATACAGCCTTGACCATCACAGAGCCTGTGATGGCCAGGCCTTGGGGCCCGAGTGACGTGTATTATTAAACATTACCCAGCAGGCTCATGAGACACCCTGGCTTTTAAACATTTTATCATTATTATTTTGTGTGTGGGGGTGTGGCTAACTATTTTTCCTTTTAGCTTTTATTATTTTTAAGTAGTTGTACAGAGGGGTTTCAGTTCCACACAGTTTCTGAGTACAGTGCTTGTTGGTAGGTCTCACGCAGCCCTCCCCTTCCCCCCCCCCCCCCAACCTCCCTTCCCCTCCCATCTCTCCCAGCTGCAGCCTTCCTCCCCTCCCCTCCTCTCCGGTCACCTGGTCTGTTCCCACACACGGGCAGTGAATCTCAGGATTGCATTTGTGCACCACAAGTGTGGATGCATTCATAAGAAATGTACTTCTACTGATAAGAATAATTGTGTATATATTTTTTTGGTCTTGGGGCTTGAACTCTGGGCCTGGGCGCTGTCCCTGAGCTCTTCAGCTCAAGGTGAGTGTTCTACCACTTGAGCCATAGTGCCACTTATGGTTTTCAGGTGGTTAATTGGAGATAAGAGTCTCACAGACTTTTCTGCCAAGGCTGGCTTTGAACCGCAATCCTCAAATCTCAGCCTCTTGAGTAGTTAGGATGATAGGTGTCAGCCACCAGTGCCCAGCTTGAAAACGTGCATTTTTGTGGCTTTGTGTGTGTGTGTGTGTGTTGGTCCTGGGGCTTGAAATCAGGGCCTGGGCACTGTCCCTGAGCTTTTTTGCATGAGGATAGCTCTCTACCATTTGAGCCACAGCTCCAATTCCATTTCAGCTTTTTGGTCTTTAATAGAAGAGGCTCAAAGTCTTTCCTGCCAAGCTGGCTTTGAACCATGATCCTCAGATCTTAGCCTTGTGAATAGCTAGGATTAAAGGTGTGAACCACCACAGCCATAGCATTCTTGTGTTTTGCTTTGTGGTACTGGGATTTGAACTCAGGACTGCACATTCGAGAGGAATATTCTTTGGATGCTGGTTGTGACGCTCAAACTCAGGGTGTCATGTTCTCTCTCTTGTTTTGTTGCTTATGGCTGGTGCTCTACCATTTGAGACACATCTCTAGTTCCTGCTTCTTGCTGGCTAAGTGGAGATAAGTGTTTCAGGGATTTGTTTGACGGGGCTGGCTTTGAGGTGTGGGCCTCAGATCTCAGCCTCCCAACGAGCTAGGATTACAGGCGTGAGCCACGGCACCCAGCTTGCCTTCTCCCAGGCTGTGGCCACACAGCCCTCTGACTCAAGGCCTGCTGCGGATGCTTTGGGTACTGGTTCTGTTGCTAAGGAAGAGTCGTTGGGGGTGGGGGGCGTTTCTGAGACAGGAGAAAAGAGTGGAGAATTTCTGGAATTCTGTGTGAAGAAGGGTAGGAGATGAAGCAGGCCGGGACACAACGGATCACGCGCCCCTAGTGAGAGACCAGAGTGCCAAGTCCCCCGAGAACCGTGTGGTGTGAACGACGTTTTCAGTCCTCAGACACGGGGGATGGGCAAGCGCAGCAGGAGATGGGGGCCGGTTACAGCCGGTACGAGGCGTGTTCGTGGCTGGCCCGTTTGGGCCATTTTAAGCTTGGCCGTGGGGACCACAGTCGTCTGCTGTAAGGTCAAGATGTCTGCGGAGGAGGGAGCCCCAGATTCCACCCCACCCCAGATTCCACTCCCCCCGACCGAGATTCCACCCCCACCCCAGATTCCACCCCCACCCTAGATTCCATCCCCCCCACCCCAGATTCCACCCCCACCCTAGATTCCATCCCCCCCTACCCCAGATTCCACCCCGACCCCAGATTCCACCCCCACCCCAGATTCCACTCCCACCCCAGATTCCACCCCCACCCCAGATTCCATCCCCACCCCAGATTCCATCCCCCACCCCAGATTCCATCCCCCACCCCAGATTCCACCCCCACCCTAGATTCCATCCCCCCCTACCCCAGATTCCACCCCCACTCCAGACTCCACTCCCCCCCCACCCGAGATTCCACCCTCCCACCTCGACCCCAGATTCCACCCCTACCCCAGATTCCCCCCCACCCCAGATTCCACCCCCACCCCAGATTCTACTCCCACCCCAGATTCCACCCCCACCCCAGATTCCACCCCCACCCCAGATTCCACCCCCCCCACCCCAGATTCCACCCCCACCCCAGATTCCACCCCCCACCCCAGATTCCACCCCTACCCCAGATTCCACCCCCACTCCAGACTCCACTCCCCCCCACCTGAGATTCCACCCCCCCACCTCGACCCCAGATTCCACCCCTACCCCAGATTCCACCCCCACCCCAGATTCCACCCCCACCCCAGATTCCACCCCCCACCCCAGATTCCACTCCCTGACCCCAAATGATTCCACCCTCCCCCGACCCCCGAGGCCCACAAGGATCACCTCCTTCAACGTACAACACTGAGTGAAATCCAAAATGGTTCTGCAAGTGATTCACCGTCCAGGGACAAACCCATTGCGTGGTTCCCAGGCGGGCGTGGGGTGATGGCGGATGGAGGGCTCTCTCCTCCCTCCCCCGTGCCATCCAGGCTGCATCTCCGTCCCCCCCCCCCCCCCCCGGGGGCCTTCCTCCACTTCCCCTGCTGGGCTGCGGTCGCACACGCAGCCTCTGTTTGCCCCAACATCGCTGCTTGACGTTCAGCATGCTCAGTTAGCACAGAGACATGTGGCCTGGCTCAGTTTCCCAGGAGAAAAAAAAAACAATTCCTTTCCGGGCACTGAGGACCAGTTGGTAAATGAGGCTTTCAGTGTCAAAGGTCAGAGCTGTTTCCTTTCCTTCTTTATTTTTTTGTCTTTTCTTTTTTTGGTACTGGGGACCAAACCAGGACGTTGCACTTGCTAGGCAAGCGCTTTGCCACCGAGCTACGTCCCAGCCCCCATTTCCTTTCTTGTATATCACATCATAAAGATTGGGGTGAGCAACGCGGCTGTCCCTCTCTGACAGCCTTGTTCCCATGATCCTTCTTTTCTTTTAGATGACCCATCCATGAAGCAGCATTTGAAATATCTCCCCACACACTCAACCAAAAATGCTCCGGCCTAAAACCAGCCCCTCGCCTTGGAGCAGCTGGGGTTCAGCGGGGACACCTTCGGGGTGACGTGTCCATGGCGTCTGTCCAGCTGTGTCCATCCGGAGCTAAGTGCAAAGACCGTCTACGCCTGCCCACACACCTGGCCATCTTGCCTTCATTCGTGATGATTAGTTTTGCTCTGAACAAATAGATCTTCTTTATTAGTACACAGGAAAAGCAGCTGGAAGGAATTGAGATTCTCTGTGATACAGCACCAGCTTTGTATGTGCCATGCGCTCCTGGTCCTAGATTTGGCTTGGAAAGTGAAGTGCTCTCCAGAGAACAATCATATAAATAAAGATTAATAGCAAACGTCTCGTGCCATGGTCCCTTTTCTTTTGCATGTGAACTCAGGGTCTGCGCACTGCCCATTAGCTTTTAGTTTACAGAGGAGGGGTTATAGTTACACAAGTCAGGTAAAGAATATATTTCTATTTGAGCAATGTCAGCCCTTCTCTTGCTCTCTCCCGGTTTTCCCTCCTGTCCCCACCCACAAGCTGTAGAGCTCATTTTCAACCTAGTGCCTAGCGAGTACCACTGTTGCCTTTGTTCACGCTTTGTCCATTTCTCCCAAAGACAGATGAACGAACAAATAAGACAAAAGGGAAAGAAAACAAGAGGAATAACAACAACAACAAAACAAAACTCTTGTTTCCCTCTCCTGGAGTTCATTTTGATAAATTTTTTATACGATCAGATGCACAGAGGCATTGTGCCTTTGTGTTCCTCTCTAAGAATATCGTCCTTTGCTTTCACTGTGTGAAAGCCTGGAGACCTGTACGATTTCTCATGTCCCAGTGCCTGTTAGCTTTTTCACTCAAGGCTAGAGCTCTACCACTTGAATCGCAGCTCCATTTCCCGCTTTTTGATGGTTAATTGGGGATATACATTTCACAGACTTTCCTTCCAGGCTGGCTTTGAACTGCAGTCCTCAGATCTCAGCCTGAGATCTGTAATCCCCAAGAGTTGGGATTACAGGCGTGAGCCACTGGTGCCTGGCACTGTTGTTTCTGACCTCGTAGACTTGGGTGTATGCCTCAGCTTGTCTGCAGCCAAGTTTGGATCCTGCGTGCATGCTGACAGACGGTTTTGTTTCAGCCGTTATTTGATTTGGTCTTTGTTTTCAAATTGCACGGGTTGTCTTGTTACCTCATAGCTTGTGCCACCCAAAGGGCTGTGTGCGCTGTCTAACTGTGGCTCTCTCACCCTTGCATGCAGGGAGGGCTGTGAGGACAGAGACTCCTGCAGCTCGGGTTCACACGCCTCCTGAGCTTCGGGGTCCAGGGAGCTGCTGCTTCTGGTGCTGGCCGTTGACTGATGGGCGGCGCGGCCTCCACGTGTGCAGCCTGCTCTGTTGTTTTGCCTCCTTGGCCAGGTGTCTGGTCGCCAACAGCGGATTCGGCCCCTGACTGTGGACCAGGTAGGTTGAACAGCATTTCTCGGCTCACCTGCCTGCCTCCGTTTGCCATGGATATTTTTGCTTACAGGGTTTGTTGCTGTTCTGCTCTCTGTCTGTGTGCTGTCTCCTGCATTTTCCTTGCAGCAAACATTGCTTGTGTCTTGTCAGGAAGTTGCTGGGCTGTTTCCCTAGGTTGCAGTCTCGGTGGCAGTTTCCCTGGAGCGGCCAGACTCTCCCCTCAGGAATGGACCGCAACAGTGCAAGAGTCCTGTGTATCTCAGGAACTCTGGAAAAGGGCTCATTTCATGTTACCTTGGTAACAAAGAGACATTGTGAAGGGAAGTAAGGTTATTTTGCCCCAAGTTGATGACACACACACACACACACACACACACACACACTCCTTTTCTTGCTGGAAATAAGGTGAAAGATTGCAGTGAAATTCATATAATTAAAAATTAATTCTTATTTTTATCTTATTACATTAAAATTTGGCCTATGTGAAAAGCCTGACAATGGACTGGAGGTAAGGTTCAAGTGGTAGAGCCCTAGCCATGAGCAAGAAAGCCAAGAGAGACAGGAAGGCCTTGAGTTCCAATGCTGGTACTGGCAAAAAGAGAGCGGAGAGGCGTAGAGAAGGCAGGCAGGCAGAAATGTAGGTGGGTTCAGGGTAATGGAATAATTCCATGGTTATCTGAAGGTAATGGAGATTTAAAGAATTTGATTACTCTAAAGGATGCCCCAAAAATTCCAGCTAGCTTTTTTTAAGTTCAAAACGTATCTACACAAAAGCTCGAGGGTATGAAATTGGCCTCCCCGTCCCTCCTGTCCCTGGTTTCTCTTCCTTTAGGTGCAGGGACCTACGCTCTGCTTGAGGAAGGCCCTTCGTTTTCTTGGTTAACTGTGAGGGCTACAGGAGGAGGCACAGCGTTTTCTCTGCAGAGGATCTTGGAGCCCTCTTCACAAGTGTTTTCTCAAAATCCTCAAACTCAGAGCAGGTAGGGAAGGGGCAGTGCAACAAGTGCACTGTAGTAATAAGAAACTGCCATTAGGTGGCGCCAAAAGACAGTGTCTTGGCTGGGTTATCCGCCTCAAGAGGCCCCCCCCCCCCCCCCACTTGCCTCATCCTTGGCAGGCTACTGCGGGCTGGAATCAGAGGGTGAGCATAAAATAATCGTTCACTACAGAGAGAAAACAAGTAAAAGCAACACCCTCCACGCCAACGAGCATGTCCACTAGTGTATCGTTCATGATGTTTTTATTCCTGATAATGGGCAACGTGAGGTGCATTGTTAAGAGCTTTAACATGGCAGGTGACTCACTCCAGCTTTGGCACTGTGCTGGAATCTGGACTCAGCCCCTGTGCTTGCATGCTGACCATTCTGATAAAGACCTGGGGTCTTCCAGTCCTATCTTGCCATAAAACTAACCAGAGCGCTGATTATCCGGGTGGCCTGTGGCCTTCTGGGTCCCAGCCCCACCCGTGTTCAGATGTTTGGAGATTGATTTGTGACGCCAGCCCGGATATCCCGATTTATGTGAGACCCCAGCCCGGACAGTGTCCTGGTGCGCTCCTGACCCAGCTGAGCCCAGCAGCATGCTTCGCCTGCTCACTGCCTCCCGGCGGGAGGGGCTTCTGGAGCAGCCAGCTGAGTTGTGGAGTCTTCTCGATGGATTAGGACCTCGGCTGTCTCCTAAACCAGACATCGAACGTGCAAGGACGCCACCGCCGTGTTTGCGGGTGTGCAAGGGGCCAGGGTGAGATGTGTGGAGGGTGTCATGGAGCCTTCACTGGGGCCACCCCTCTCCAGCCCCGCGTTTGTGGGGTCCGCGCCTGCCTCTGGCCAGCACAGGTGCGCAAGGCCTTCTCCCAGGGGATTCAGCTGACACGAAGGTCACCTGGGTCACTGTCTTTCTGTGTGACCTGTCACCTGACCTGAGATCTTGGAGCCAGGGCTTCCCTCAATCACCGTAGTAACCTGATAAGGGGGCTATGCCCTCATTGAGCAGAAGGGGAAACTGAGGCAGGGGGCTGCCTGGAAATAGCTGGGCTGCAGCCAAGAGGTATGTGTGTCCTGCCCCTTCCCCAGACCTTCTCCCTTACCTTTGATCATGCCTCACGGCCCCCAGCGCCTCCGTTTCCTGCCCTCCCTCGGGCCCGTGCGTTCTGTGGTTAGGCCTACCGCCACCTTCGAAACAGGGCAGGGCCCTGGGAGCTGGGTGACGGCCTCTGCACCTGTGACCCCGGTGTGGGGGCTCCGGGGGCTGCTGTGACCCCCACCCCAGTCCTCTTCCTTTCTGATGAGCACAGAGTGGCAGGTACCATTCTACCCCAGCAAGGTTAGAAGCGGCCCGCCTGGCCTGCCCCCCGACCCGGCCCTGGCACCCAGCCACGGCCCCGGGGAGGGCCTGTGCGGGATTCTCACAGGCAGCCGGCCCAGTCAGAAGTGTGAGTGAGTGAGTGACATTCCAGATCATTCCAGCCGGCAGTCTTCGGCCACACCACGGGGGACAGACTGCAGGTTTGGGGCACCGAGGTCTGCCACAGCCCCAGGCTGTAGTGCCATCTTGTCTGGCTAGACAAACCTCCGCTTATGCCGAACGAGATGCACTTCGCCACCAGAGCCATGCACCATGCAGGAAGGCCTGCTCCGTGTCACCTGTGCCACGCAGCCCTCTTCCCTCTTGAAGCCGCGTACTCCACGAGAGCGCCCTCACCAGCCTCCTCCCACCCACTCCCCATTTCCTCACCCGGCAGCCCAGATTGACCCCCAATACAAAATTCAGATGCCGGGATGGCTAGTCCGAGAGCGCTTCAAGGGACCTTGAGCTGCCAGGACTTAGTTCAGAGCTGTTGGAAAGCCCTGTGTTTGATGGTAGCATTTGAAGTTTTATGAGGTTTCATTTTGAGTATATATACACATACATATATATGTATATTGTGTGTGTGTGTGTGCGTGTGTGCATGTGTGTGTGTGTGTGTGTGTGTGTGTGTGTGTGTGTGTGTGAGAGACAGTAGTGGGTCTTGAACTCATGATCTGGGTGCTGTCCCTTAGTTTTTCTGATCAAATCTGGTGCTCTACCACTTGAGCCATAGCTTCACTACCAGCTTTTTGGTAGATAATTGGTTTTCCTTCCTGGGCTGGCTACAAACCAAATTCCTCAGCTCTCAGCTTCCTGCGTAGCTGGGAGTACAGGTGTGAGCTGCTGGTGCCCGCCTGAGCATATTCTCCACAAGTCCTGATCTTCAGCACCTTGCCATGTACAAGGTGCATGTCACACCTGCAGGATCCTCTCCTGTTCCTTTGTAGAACCCCCTCCCCCTGTCATCCCATGTGTCCCCAGAAACTGCCACCCAGGGTTCAGACATTCTGGTCTGGGCTTTCCTTCTCTCGGACCTCATGTACCTGTGTAAGGCAGGGCTCTGCTCTGGGGTCTGGATTCCTTCCTTCTCCACAGGTCTCTTGGCGTTTGTCCATGTGGCGTTAGTTCAGCTATTTGGTGACTTTCATGGCTGCCTGTGGTGTCATCAGAGCGGTCACTCATTCTGTGCT